TTTTCTCCTTCCGCCTCGTAATCTTCGGAGAAATGAAATTGGCACTCCTGCGAAACACATGTGAACGTTTCACTTTGCTCGGAAGTCCCAGATTCTTCCGCTTGTGTTGGGAGCTTCAATCCTGTTTTCTCCTCTAGGTTTACTGGCTTCTCCTCTCCTTGGGTCTCTTTTGTGTCCCCTTCATCTTCCTCTTCCATCGTGAGGTACTCTAATTCTGTGCTGGCGTATGCATTGTCCTCCACCAATGAATCCAATGGTACCAACTTCGGTTTCTCCGATTCAATCTTGGCAGCTTCGGCAAACAAGTTGTCCACCTTCTTTGCAAATCCTGGGGAAATTGGACCCTTGTACCAGATGCCTCGGTAGACCGAACCAAACGCTCCACCACCTACCCGACTGCCCAGTTTCAACTGGTATTCAGGTATTATGAGCAACGTGGTCATATCGGGCATTGCATCCTACACATGTAATCAAAGTCTTTGAGCTGTACAGCGCTGACTTTACGTGATTTTTTTTAAAAGAATTCTTAACCATGGACATCAATTCTACCAAACTCCTGAATTGATGAGCGTTATCAGTCACTTGCATTATGAAAAGAAATTATGCTAGTAACTCGCCTTACTTAAAAGTGTGCTACAAATAAACTACCACTTTATTTGCCTGCTTCCTCTAGACAAAATGCTTGACAGTGTTAAAGGTTGATGGTCCACTTACCGCTTGGGGTGATACAAGACAGCTTTGCTCATCATCACTGTTAACCGTGCTTGACCGCACAGGAAGCGAGCGCAGACTTATATTTCTTCGTGATTTGCTTAATCGCCTTTCATTCTTCTCCTCCTCCGGTTCCACAACAACTGCTCGCATCCAAAATTGATTGCACATAGAACTTAGACCACTATGCGTTTGGTCTGCTGTAGGCCCGCGCCTGGACTTGCGCCGACGAGTTACAACGCGAGAGCACACGTAAGCGAAGTAGACAACGACGAAGAGGGCCAAAAGACCACAAAAGATAAGGAGAGCCGTAGACAACCAAGAGAGACGAGTAAGCATTTGAGGACTGAGTAATTCTGGCGAGGTACAGAAAATGAAACACTCATCCCCTTTTCTTGGTGTACCAGGTGGAAGATGGTGTGAGATTCCAGTATGAAGACATACAAACTCGACCGCAGTTGTGATGGAATTGAGTGCCACATGGGTGGTGCTATCCGGAGGGCAGGACTCAACGCAAATCCACTAAAAAGCATTGAAGAGCACTGAAATCTAGTTTAATACACATCGCTTCAAACAAAGTCCCCTGTGTAGTTCGAAGCCCTAATTATATGAGAATTTAATGTAACGAAACGATACACAATGTTCGAAAACTAAAGGCCTTTTACAGTCTCTAAAAATATTATGATTTCGAAATTGTATCTAAGGCTAGTAGACACATTATGCATTCGATAGACATTAGCTGCCTAGCTACCAGTCTAGGTAGAGATGTCACGCCTGTGCTCCGCAATTGTAAGGGCTCCCTTCAGGGCGCGCCAGTTGATCCGGGCTCTGTACTATGTATACCATGAACAACTGTTGTGTTGCCTTCCATCATTGAGACAGTCGAAGAACATTACAACAGTATTGGGGGGAAAGTGATAACAACCTTATAAGAGTTCAGCTTAATTTCTAGTATTGCTTGGAAAAGGAACTGGCAAGGCCAGTGGATGGACAAATAGATGGCAAATTTTAGCAGGAAGGTTTGACAAATGACATCTGTCTCAGTACGGTATTCTGCAGGAGAAAGTATTAACGACGGAACTGACGGAGGTCTAAAGGGTCTTGAGGATTTTATAATGCACATGGGAATATCGAATATGTGGAAAAGCAGTTCATAGACTTCTCCACTAGATGGATAGTTTCTAGGTATATATGACTCAACGGCCCCGAGAGGAGAACAACTTGTTGTGAATCTTACCTCCACATGACAACGTTCAGTCTTGTTCTTTGCCTCATGGCACTCCATTCTAATCACCAATGGTGGTCATCCCAACCATATCTGCACATTTGGGTCCATTAGTAAACGTAACTTCAGACCCATTAGAATTACAAGAACTTTCCAGTACATTGGCTCGATAGATAAGGA